ATACAGGGTGAGATGAATGCCCCATTTTCGTATGGAATGTTGGCACATACTGTATTACTTTTCCATACATCTCTATCTTCCGTCATCTGTAAACATTCACTCCCTATTCACATATTCAGATCGGTTCAGTAAACAACTAAAATTAAATATAAAAATGTAAATGTATTTAATATATCTAGTTAGCAGACAGATAGACCATTCGAAAGGGAATTTAGTATCGAAACGTTACACAATTGTGAATAGGAAATAAAAGATATTGTACAGCAAGAATTTTCTAATATTCTTCTAAATGACAACGTAACAGCTGAAGCAGAAAATATTTAGTATCTTCAAGTTAGTATTGTACAAAGATATTCCTGAGAAAGGAAAACAATTGAAAGGAATTTCGTTATTGGAAAATCAATCTGTTATTTATTTTGTGAGAACATTATCATCTATAAAAATAATGAAACTACACTTGAAAGAGATCGTGGCAAAAGTTGCCTAACAAAATATAATTTTTAATTCATTTCCAATTTTAATCTCATGAATATTTATACACTAAATGGAAATGTAAAATGTATTATAATTTGAATTCTGCTATATTTTATGTGTTTCAAGTGGAATTAAAAGCAAATAAACATAATAAACACAGGTATTTGTATTGTGACAAAGGATACTGGTAAGTGCGGGAACAACAACACACGCGAAGTTTCCCTACACTCGAGTGGAAAAGTGGTACCACTGCAACTACGTTTGTTATTTCAAAAGCTTTTCCTTCTAGCAGTGAAAGGATCTTGTACAGGTATAAATAGAATCGATTCACTCACATTCGTGTCTATTATAATTCTACTAGATGTGGCCGCGACTTCGTCCATGTCAAATACTAACTTTGAGCTGCACGGTAATGGACAGTACTTGGACATTGCAAAATTACTTTATTTTTCTAGAATAAAAGATTTTTTCTTAAATAACCGTAGCACTAGTTACTCTTTATTAATCATCTACCTGATAATAAAAGTCCAATCAAAATCGGTCCAGACAATTCAGAGATTAGCCGGAACATACAGACAGACAATTTTTTTTGGTGTATATACCCTACAGACACATCGATTATATTTATGTGTATAGATGTATAGATATAAATTGTAGCAAGGCATATTACGATATGTTTTCTATATAAATATTCAAGTGACCGAACACGCAGCTATAATATACATTTGTATGACGTTACCAAGTTACACCGTAATTTATATTATCGCATCGGCTCGGAGCCTACCTTAAGTTAAGGGTGATTAGGCCATAGTGAACCACGCTAGCCCAGTGCGGTTTGGTTGAATTCACACATATCTTTGAATTTCTTCTCAGATATGTGCAGTTTGCATCACGATGTTTTCCTTTACCGTAAAAACGTCGGATAAATGTATATCTGTAAACCGGAAATCGAAAAAAACATTGGTACATGGCGGGATTCGAACTCAGGACCTGCAGATTGCAAGTCAAGTGCTTGACCCCTGAGCCACCACGCTCTAGAAAGTAGTAAGTAGCTTTGAGTTATTTTTATAGTGTGGTCAACATAGTTAAAGTGGTTTAAATTTCAATATCATTGTTTTAAGTAATGATTGTGATGTCAAATATACCATTTTGTATGTATCATACATACATAGTTACTAAGTTATGCGTTGTGTTAAAAATTATTGGAATTCGTTGTTGTAATTTGATAACCGCATTATAATTATAAAAGGTTTTATTGGTAATCAATCATTATGGAATTCAATAGACTTTTGTGCTATATTGTTTGAAAATTTTAACACCACACGTAATATTGTTCGACTCCTGCTATCAATCATTTTTATATACAATATTTATGGAAAAATACATTGGATATTTTTATACTTTTGTGAAAATATATTCTTTTTGTTTTCCTCGATTCATTGTATTCGTTAAAGTTCGGAAAAGAGGACTAAATTAGATCTCCGGGACGCACGATCATCAGACGAAACGCGGAATTGCTTCCACTTCAAGCCTGTCTTCTGTGTGGTCGTGGTATGTCACCAGACGAGCCGGGCCAATTGGTGCGAAGATGTTAAAGCGGGCTCTACCACTGCTGAATGTTGTATCTATGCACTGGTTTATTTTAGTATTTCGTAGTATTAAGGTTACAATACTACGAAATACTAAACATAGATAGATCAGTAAACTATTGAAAACAAAGGTAACTTTGTGTCAAAATGCACCACTGCCAGTAGTAGAGGCATTGGTATCTAGGATAGATATGTTTATCGTCAACACGATCTCTTTATAATAAGAGGTCAGAACAACCGTTCACATTAATCTTAGTTAAACAGGAAACTGTTCTCTGTTGTAGCTGTAATTAAATTCACAAGTAATTAATGTAAGGATTCCGTTAACTTTATCTCGCAGGATCTTTGAGTGCTTGATTAAGAAAATACTTATTGAACTTACAAAGTAAAGGAAAATCTTACTTAAGTTTATAAGGTACACATATAAGGGTATGTGATGAACATCAACACATCCTAAATCATCTAGAAAGATTATTGCTGCTTGTTTAGCTTGAGAATTACAGTGTCCGTGCTCTACTCTAAAAAAAAAACTTCAATCTTGCCTTGAATACTATGTAAAAATAAATGGATAATATATATTTTTTATACAATCGAGTGAAATAAATACATAGCATTTCTTTCCACATATTTCGTACCCTGATCGTTCCTATGTGCGTAAGTATTCCTTATAAATAAACCTTTATTCATGTTTTATAACAAACTATATCCCATGGTCTTTTATAAGTATACTAACCACAAAAACCCTTGCAAATATTATGGGAATTTCAATAGAATCCCTTATATAAAAGTCCCTTTTCAGTGAATCGTGTAGCTCAATTCACTTAGTCCTTCGTAGCAAAGTCGTAGCCCTTCAACGTAGCATGATTTATGAGGAAGGATTCAAGAACAAATTGTATCCTTATCTTATCGTGATATAAGACAAGTGTAAGAGTATAAGACAGATGTAGTGAGACTTGAGATGGGGACCTGAAAATCTCGTCGCTAGGCGTTGCAATCTATGTACTAATACATAAAAATTTATAGAGATAAAATATATTTAATTAAAAAAAACTTATCCACTTTATAAAATCTTACTTCATCTAGGTAATTACTATGTTAACTATATTTAAATATAATATATAATATGGAGCTACGTTATGATATAATTTAACTCTGTTTGCCTCTACTATAGTACTAGAAATTCAAACCGTTCGTAGCGTATTTCAAAATGCATTTTTCGTTCGTGGGATTAGACTGTTGATACAAAAAATTTAGATAAAAATGTTACGAATGAATATCTTACAAAACCTATGTAATTACGATTGTGCCTCAAACACAAAAACGTACATGTATTACGTATGATTTTTCACAATAATAGGCTATTCACCGCAGACTCTAGGGTTTGAATGTAGAGAGTGGTAGATTTTAAAACTTTAGTATACGCGTACATTTATTCGACTACATAATTTAAAATAAAAGAATCAAAAAGCATCTAAGTTGCCTTTGACAAATAATTTGTAATACAATTTAAATCCTTTTCACTAGGACTTTTCAATAAAATATTACAGTTTATCTTTTTATGTCGTCAGAATCTTATCTAACCAAGATGTCTTCAAGAGCTATAAAATGCTTGAGTAGAGACGATCTTGAGCAATCTCATTACCGCGATGTGACTGAATGAAATGAAATCGTAAGAAAACGAAGTATTAGTTTAGTTTACACCTCAAACAGTTTACTTATACTTTCATAACATCAATGTTAAATATATTTTTAATAATAAAACTTCTGTCATCTTTAAATCAGTTATGGAAAAAATAAAAACATTTATGTACTTAAATAAGAAGAAAACGTGAAAATAAGCCTTACTGTTTTTTTTTTAAAAAACTAAACCGCCTTGGACTAAGTGCAGATGACCAATAATTGCTAATCTTCATAATATTGTATGCAATTTATATTCTTTCTTTAATTTCTTATTATTGAGAATGTCTATTGTACTAGACATTCTAAGGGCAAGTTTCGTTTGTTTCGAATGTTGTTTCCCAAATGAATTACGTAATTACAAACTAAAAATAAAAACGGTTAACTTACACATTTATTCGTTGTCAGCTCTGACTAGTTTCAAGCCCGCTGGGGGTCCTTTTGCTTACGTAATTGGCTAAAAATAAACACGGTCATAAATACTTAGAAAATACAACGGCGCGACTCAATCTACTTAAATCCCTTTTATCTCTTAATATCTCGCCTTATTTATAAAGGGTCGGTATAACCCACGTATGTCCTTTTTATATCTCTACTCTATTTCCTTATATTCATCACTTGGTTGATAAAAAAATATTTAAGAACTGTTTCTGAAGCGAATATTTTTTTCATAACCATTATATTAATAAAAATTTACTTTTAATATCCAACATTAAACTGTAATCAGACAATCATTAAAACTACGTTTAAATATACTAATATTATAAAGGTGAAAGTTTGGAGTGATGGATTTACCGGCTACATGGATCTCGATGAAATTGGCCATAGATGTAAAACAAAATTGGAAAGAACGCAAAGGCTATTTTCTTAAACTCCTTTTCCATTTTTTTCATTAAGGGCGAAGTCTCGGGCAAACGTAGTCAGTAAAAAAAATATAATAGCAGTTAGAACTTTTTATAATTAATAAAATGTAAGCTAATTATGAAGTCAGTTCAGTTACTATTTTCTACATTTCGTTTGACAAGGTCTCAAATTTTAATATTTTGTTGGTTGGAAAAAATAAAACTAAATTAATATGTTTGAAGTACTTTTTGTCATTTTAAATACATTTAAAGCTCTATAATTATTTATTTTACATTACATATTTAGTAAATTTTCGGCAATAATACATAAATCATACTTTTCATTGGCCATTAATTCTTGTTTTTTTTTTAAATGCATATTTTTCCTTATATACATATATATAAGATTCTGTTTTTATATTATACAATAATTCTTACAATTTAATTTAAATTATTTAATATCTTCAGAAATAAGTATTTTTTAACTTATCTTCTTGTAACCATGCTTCTTTGGTCTCAATTATAACAGAATGAGCGTTTATTTAGACATAGAGTGCACGTATTGCAAATAAAACTAATAATTACTAAGTCTTCTGTATATAAATGCTAAGATCCGAGGTAAAGATACAGCACAACATACGAGTACGTCTGTTGAAATTCGCAACATTCGAATAACAATATAACTTAACCGATTTCAAAAGGTTTATCACACGATTTGTGTTCCTCAGAGCGTAATAGAGACCCAGTCGGGTTTCTAGCTTATTTAATTAATACTCGTAGTATTAGTAGACCTTCCATTCAAACGTATGTAGTTTGAAGTTCAGTGTGTGAGCTTGCGCGTGGCGTTGCTGTACAGCGGTTCCTTATGAGCTGGCCGAATGTGGTCCGGAACTGACGTGACATAGAGCAATACAATATGAAGTTGATCGCTCCGTTCAGTAGCGCAAGCGCATCCATTAGTTCCCCGAACAGATCGTAGCATCGCTTAAAGAAGCAACGACCCAGCGCGCCGCTCATCAAACCTGTTAAAGATTTTTAATCCGTTAATAATTATTTTAAGGTTATCGTTACATTAGCAGTTAGGTTATTTAGCAGATTTCATGTTAATTTACTACTATTTCTTGTACCATTCCAACTAAGCTGTAAGCTTGTGCTAGGGTGTGGTTTACGACAATAGTCGAATGGCGGGATCTGAACCCCCGACCTCGTGATCGGAATTCCATACCCTTAACCATTAGGCTATCGGCGCTTAAAAAATTGACATTGACGCGATAATCACGCGTATGAGATGGTTAAACACCGTTTAATGTCAGTGCCAATGACAATAGTTAATGGAATTTTACTAAATTAAACTGGTTTATTCAATTTTTATTAAATGTAGACTACACATTAAATTTTAACTAATTAAAACATTCTTACAGCTATAAAGAAATTAAAGAGGAAGGATATTAAATAGTCTCACGGCATCAAGTTGAACGTTAATATATTTTATAAAGCCCAAGTTTATCTTGGTCAAAAGAAAATCTTGAGAAGAAAATGATAAGACGCAGACATTTGACATAAAAGTAATTCAGTTTAAATACTTTTAAAAAAAGAATTGTTTTACACAAGATAAAGACTTTTGATTTGTTTTAATTATAATTTATAAAAGTTTACAATATTTATTAATCATCTAACATGATCTAAGTATTGATAATTTAACTTTAGCTTAGACCAAAAAAATTTTTATAGTATAAAATATCCTCATTCCTGTTATTATCCTTGATAAAACAGACATAACAATATTTTTTAAACGGGGATTTTGGTCTCAGAAAGCGACGATTAATAGTTCGTAAATACCACCGAAAATGCAATACATTATTGTACTGACCAGTACACATTGTATCGATTTTCTTAGTCTGAGGAAATTTCCTATAAAATTTAGTAGTGCCGTAATCGTAAGTTTGCCGTTGACAGCTCGAACGTCATTAGGATCTGTCAATAAAGCGAACAAAAGTAACGGAAACGACTATTGTTATTTTTATAAAGTCGTATATAACAACTCTAATATAACATTGTGTGACTTGTCTATTCTTATTATCTTTGTATATTAGTCTTATTAAAGTTCTTGATGTAGTAAACGCTACATATAAAACTTACCTAGAATACCTTGAGGAAATTCTGTCAATAGGAAAAGTAGTAGCACAGCTACTAACATTTTGGTAGTACGATCCGTCCTCTTTTCAGCTTTGGATCGCTTCGTCAGTTTTCTAGTGAAGACGTTTCCATTTGTAGCCACTACACTGCTGGCGGGACATGCATTGTAACCTTTTAGCATTTTCTTCCTACTATTAGCTCGATACAACACTCGTATCAGCCATGCACTGATGATAGTCAATATAACGCACGGCAGCAGTTTTATGAACACCGCATGTACCCAAAAGTTTAATTGATATAGTACTCCTTCGTAATTGGAATCAACGTAGTAAACTTTCGATGCAATTTTGCTTGCGGTTTTGTCGAATGATACCTCTTCATGTATTGTGAATACCTGGAAAGTTAAATTTTATAATAGATAAAAAAATATAATAGACGAAAAAATAATCGGTGCCTACTCTAAGTTAGGGGTGACTAGACCATAGTCCAGTTTTGTGTCCAATATAATTTCGTTAGATATTATTGAAAATTGTCAGCCTTTAATAAACATACTAATATTATTTTATGCATCGTGTAAATAAACTTATCGGTTTTAGAAACATTTTGATATTGCTTTTTTTGACTTTGTATTACGATACTTGACTGGAATCAAAAGAAAACAAAATTGCGTGTATAATATAATTTGTGAAAAAGCTAACAAAATGGCAATTTATTGCTTAATGTCGTGACCGTTAATGCGGAATCATTTCGTAAGCGAAAATTAATCCATTTTCAGGTGTGATGGACAGGCTGTTAAACACATTTCAAATCAACATTTTGTTTACAAATCATCTAATTACGAGTAGTAATTATAACCGAAATATATAACAAATACTGGAACATAAATTGCCTCATGAGAATATTACACTCCAGTCGAGCATAGTAAATTAAATTATGCCTTAATCATCTCACATTGTTAAAACTATCAAACAGTATACGCTTTCCCAAGTTAAGATTGTTAAGGAACAAAGCTTACGAACTAAGACTTTACACGTACATCGCATCAATTATATATATATATTATTGATGCGATGTACGTGTACACACCGTTATATCGCATTAATAAGATATGATATGTTACTAATGCATCTCATAGATTTAGATCATAACCAGCAATAAAACATATGCTATATCTCTATTAAACCTGCAACCTAAATAATGACCTATATTCAAGAGCGAAGTTTTAAAAGTAATAGTAACAAGCTTGATTTAATACTACTAACTACACCTAGTACAGTCAGCTCCATAATTATTTACACTTGCAAAACAAATTTAAATTTATATAGGCGGCCAGTTTCAAATATACGTTTGCAGGTATTTGTCAATAATATGTATCCATAGTTGGTAGTATACGGAGGGATAAGTGCATTCATATTTTACGAAACTAAGGTTTTATGAAGTTTTAAAAATGTTTAAATATTTATGCAGCTGACTGTACAGTGCGATACCCTAGAACTCTAGAGAATACAAAAGAAATGAATTTGAAGAAGAATTTGTGGATATAGAGGCCAAATCATAGTTGCGACTGTTACGTTTTTACAGAGAACTTTGCAAAAGTCAGAATAAATGGGATTACCTCAAAGGAAAATTCTAGCTCCGGGGAATTTCGTATGTACTTGAGTAACAACAAATACGTTTTGCTACAAATAAATGTACTGTCCTACAAACTTCCATATAAACTTTAGTACACGACATGTTTCATGTTCAAACTAAAAAGAGTAAACGCTTTTTCTTAAATTTGATAACGCTACTATAGAATAAAACGCGAGAGTAAAATAAGTTAAAACAGATTATTTATTATAACATTATTATATGATACTTACAAAATATGAAGGTATGCATAAAATAGGTGGCAGTAAAAAGCTTAAGAAGATGGCCAGCGAGCAGCGTCGGTCGGTACACAGCGATGGTCCGTACGATGGGTACCTTTGGAATAAAACTTTGTGTTAGATCTCATTTCCACCAGGCGAATGGCCGAACGTTTGTAAGGCCCCGCGTGTTCTGATGCGTTCGCAATTGGTTATACAAAATAACGATCGCTCGCGGCTAGAACAGCGCGGTAGTAATAAGCCTTTATTAAATTCCAATTAAATAAAAAAAAACAACCCGTTTATAATATGAAAAATTAAGGTAACAATTACGAAAATAATCTTCGTATTCTGGGTTTGCTTTATTACAAGGCATTATTTGTAACAAAAATGTCCTTAGGCAAATATACATAAACATTGAATCACGGAGTAGTAAAAGAATTAATAGAAACGGTAAAGTCTGTTCTTGACATGTTTCCACTCAATTTACGATGCTTTGAGAAACGTTCAACTAATTTCTTAGGTAAAATAAATTTTGTGAGTTATAGGAAATGCAAAAATATTGTCATTTATAATAATTTATTTGTGCTTTTATCGGAGTATATCTTTTTACTAAGATATATTCCAATCTTTCAGTCTCAGTAATTAACTTTAAAAAAATATTTATCAACTAAACACTGGAAGACAGTACAAATTTAACAATGATCTTACTTGATAGCAATATATCGCCAAATAGCCAAAGACAACGTCAATAGTATGGAGGCGGTGTGGAACAGCTGTGTGAAGTGCATATGAAAAAGCATGTACACCGCCCATGCGTACGGCCGCTCCTCTTGCCGCGGCAACAACTGCAAACAAAAATTCAATTAGCACAATTCTGTAAGGCTGGTTGAGACACTTTTAGATATATTTAATTCTATGATCAACAAAAAATACTATTTGTTACGTAAAAACCAAAAAACTCGACTAACTGTAAGCCTGTGTAACACTCGTCAAATTCGGGTCAATCGTTTAGGCTCCAGGCCGTCACAATGGAATAAGCTTACAAACTCTTATACATTTGTATACACGCAATATACATTACTATGCTTACGTAGTCAAGTAAAGATATTATTTAAAAAAGATTAGAGACGCGGTTTAGCGGTAACCTTTCTCTTCTCATAACATTGTAAGCAAAGAAAATGTATGTAAATAAATAAGAGCAAAAAAGGATTCTGACCGAGCGTCAGAAGTAAAACAGAAGACGGATAGAAAAAAAAAAAAAACTTTCTCTTCTTGTCTCTGTTGTGAAAAAAAAACGCAATTATCACGTCCTTACCTCCAGGCTAAAGAATTGCTGCGAAGCGCGCCTTTGACTATCTCGTGCCTTAGCCGCGTACTTATATTGCTCTTAGTCTTAGGGATAATCCACTCTTGCGAGGGTAGAGTTAGATAAACAAAGAACATTTTATCCTGATTTTATTGTACTCTCACACAAGCAATTAAAGTGGTATGCGATTGAATTCTACTACCGATTAAGGATCGATTATCGGGTTCGGTAGTTACATAATACCATGCTAACCATATATCTATAAATGGAGAAGGGTACGTATTCCATCATGACGAAGACATCAGCAACAGCTAGCCACTTCAGAAGTCGGTTGATGGGAGCCGCGGCAAGGTCTCGCCGAGTCAGTACAGCTACATTGAAAACGTTCGCTAAACTACCGAAAAGACAAATCTGAAACAATTAATACAAGTTCAACTTATCGTTTTTCAAAGGTATCATAAATAAGTGTCAGTAAATTAAAAACAAAATTAATAAACAAGTGTATCCATACATCGAATACTTTTATATCTAAGATTTCCTTTCACTTCATACAGATCATGTATTTCATCGCCATAAAAACGTTGGATAAATTTACAATATAAGATTCAATAAACACGTCCTTCTCATTTTTTTACCCGATATTAAATTTAAATCTTACCAATAAACTGACGTAACCATGTATGGCGTTGTACCCGAGGATGACGTCACGGAATTCACCAGAACAGTAGTCCGATCGATCGCATTCTTTGATCACAGTAATATTATATCTGTTCCTCCAATCCTCTAAAGTCCGGAGTAATTCGTTGATTTTTATACTCTGATTGTTACCGTGTTTCAATATAGATACTAATTGTTTATCATCGAACAGACTGAATGTATCATCCAGAGCTCCACTGTCGTATCTGTTATGGGAATCATCATCAGCCAGCATTTTGACGTTGCTAAAACTTTATCACTTCTTATTTTCAATTATTTCCATGACTATAGTTTTTTGTTCTTTAGAAATCCTTGTGGATGTTGGTCCGTGCCTATATTTATTCTGTAACAAAATGATATAATGTTTAATAGTTTTAAATTATATAATATATGCAAAAATACGTATTTTGATGTATGTTTTTAGTTACGTAACTCTAGAAGGTATGAACGGATCTGGATTCATTTTGCAACTGAGAAAGATAATACTAGTGACTGCACTGCATGTCAATTTTTTTACTCAGCTTTTTTTTATAAATGCTGCGAGCACAACCGCAACTTCACTGAACTCTTTAAAGTCATGGAAAAATATTTTATTTAAAAAATATTAACATATTATTTTAATTTGCTTAAAATAAGTATAGTTTTTATTTGATGACGTCAATGCTAATATATCTTTGTTAGCATTAACATTTTAACTCTTAGGTTATAACCTAAAGATACACAAAGTTAGAAAAACTCGATCAACATTAATTTCTAATATATCTAATCGAAAACACACATTCAATACACAAATATATTTACATAACTGCGGAGAACTTTAGCCACCTAACTCGGAAATTTTTATGTATATACCTATGTATAGTAATAAAGATGGAAACATGAAAATTTATGTTATACTTATAATTTGTAGATATGTTTACCAAACATCATTTTAAACCTAACTTAATTTAAATACAACTAGCTAGTCTCAAAGTCGTCTTTAACTTAATTAGCGAAGTTATCTCTTCAACGTATTCTTTTCAGAATACACGTTTTAGACATAAAAATCTAGCTTATATTTTCATGACGGATAAAATTGTTGTTAGTATTTTATATTTTACTTAGAAATAAACATTTAATTTTATTTATTTAATCTAACATTTTATTTTATTTATATTTTTTTGTCTGTGTATATGTAAGATTTATTCAACGGTAAAATAATGTAAGTACGTGGCTAAGATACGAATTCGACGACATATAGGAGGCTCAGATGTTTATTTTCGAAGGGATACTACATAATAATATCAATAAAATAGATTCCCATGGAGAAGAAATATTTTTTGTACCAAAAGTGTGCAAGAAAAGTAAGTAATATCATACAATTAAGCGTCAATACCCTAATGGTTCATAAGGATTTCCGATCACGTGGTCGAGAGTTCGAATCCATGTCCTAACACAAGTCTAAAGCGTAGTTGGAACCGTACAAGAAATATTAGTAAATTCACAAAAATCTGCTAATATTTTAATAAAAAGAAAAAAAACACTGTTAAAGTCAATTTCACTTTTCTCATAATACCATATTTTCAGATGTTTTCATAATTTATTTATTGTTAAAATCAATAATAAATAAGGTTTTTAGTTTATAGAAAAAAAAACTTATAAAATGTTAGAATTACATAATTTTTAACCTAGAAATTGCTCTTTATAATTCTATACCGTTTAAATTGATAACTTCGTTTTAGATCTTTTTTAAATATCTATTATGTGTTAACATCATTGTAGTAACTTTTTTATGATTTTTATTACAAACACATAGAAATGAAAACTGTAAATTAAAACTTAATCTTTACCTTTTTTTGACTTTATATATTATTGTTGCACAACACGTCTCTTCACAATTCACTAATATTTTTCACATAAACAAAATTACCAATAAACTAACTTGTAACTCTATGAATTACGTACTAAATATTTTAAATAAATACAACTACTTAAGTAGTAATATGTATTTAAATGACACTTGACTACTTGATTATGCTTTTCGTACAATATGCTCCACGTAAATTGTTACCATCGGCTTCCACTGCCGACATAAAAGAACATATTATATTAATATCGTAGTTCTTTAAAGGTACTTATACTGATACTTACCATGTATTCGTATAAATTTTTAGATAGCGTAAACACACTGTTAACGAGTTATTATCCTTGTTTATGAAGTTATTAGTTAATTCAAGTATTCAACAACTATTTGTGGTAGCATCAAAGTAAAAGGGTTTTTATTCTATTGTCTACAATTTGATGTCGCTTAAAACTATTTTTATTTGAAACATCTATTTGTTATTTTTGTTCTGTAATGTTTGCATTATGCAATGAAAATAGTAATGTTTGCTGTAAAACACAAAACAGTAACGTTCTAACTAACGAGTAACTCATTTGGTATCGATGTTATGTAAACTATATTTACTCGTGCAGTAATTTGTAAATATTCACTAATCAGCCAAACCTTACTAATATTATAAATGCAAATATTTAGATGGGTGGATGGATAGATGTTTGTATGAAAGTATCTCCAGAACGGCTGTATAGATCTTGCTGATATTTGACATAGATGTAGAACATTGTCTGGAAGAAAACATAAGCTACTAATTAAGTTTTTTTTTAATTCCACGCAGACGAAGTCGCGGGTGACAGCTAGTACACAATATATTTAATATTGCAGTTTTGAACAAGTAATAAAACGCACCAAAAAGCTACTAATATATTGAACATTTATTACATATGAAACAAAAAAATCCATTTGCGTACGACATTTTTCGCAAAAGCGACTGAACATGATTCTGATTTTACAGCAATCGTGTTTCTTTCGAGTAAGAATTATTTATAATAACGCTTTTGCATAATTTTGTTCGTGCTGAATAAAAAAAAACTGAGAATGTGTTTTTACAGATTATACTCTACATGTATGCCATATTGCAGGGAGAGACGTAATATCATCCATCTAGACTATCGCATTAATAATATTATTAAGATTAATCAATAAATGTCGTATTCTTTTTATGATCAATATTGGCGCTTGGAATCGCTATTAATGTGTATAAAGATTTAAAATTAGGTCAACACGGAGCGGTCGACTTCACCTAAACAAAATGTAATTGTGTAAAAGCAATAAAATTGATGCAACCATTAAAATTAGGTCGCCGCTTTGTAATCAAAAGGTATTGCGAATTAAATTCGTCGTACTCACGGCCGAGTCACAACAGCGTGCAGGATTTATGATTCCTACCCAAGGGCCTCTGCTTACCCATTAACCTATTTAACATCTGCAAATGACTGTTTAAATGAACTCAGATTATTTACTAGAAACTAATGAAGTTTTCATAAACTAATTAAAGCGTACAAGAAAATTTTGTTTTTATCAACAAATTCAGAACGTGTTCTTTAAATAAACAAAATTATTCAATTTAAGAAACATCTAATGTTATAAACAAGGTCATAGGTGTATTACTGATAGTACAGCTTTCGGAAACGCTACGTTAGTCACTTTAAAAGTATTTACATAATGTTAAATAACAAACTCAAAGCATCAATAGCCTAGTGGTTAAGGGTACGGATTTTCGATCACGAGGTTGGGGGTTCGAATCCCGCCATTCGACTATTGTCGTAAACCTTGTGCACAAGCAACTGAGCTCAATTGGAATGGTACCGGAAATATTAGTAAATTACCAAAAATCTGGTAATATTAAAAAAAATGTAATTTTCAGCATTAACGCTTGCTAGTGTTCAAGATATTATCTACAAAGTTAATAATAACCGTTTTTAATTTAATAACATTAATATGAGTGGGTAATATTGATGAAAAATATGTATCGAGGTTTACGGAAAAAGCAGTTCAGAGATAAACCGGCTCATTAATAATATGATTATTAAATAATGGCTATTTATCGAGGCGTGATTTCGAATTTGGAAACCTGACAAAGTCAATATATTGAACTACGTTTTCCCGAACGTGAAAGATGTCGTTACAGTTCAATCATTATTGTTATGAATGCATAGTCGTATTTCTTATGTTTGGAAGTCGTAAACACATCTATTTATGACGTTTGACCATACGATATTATGCCTAGATAGAGACCATAGATAATAAAATTATTGGTCGCGGAATCTTGCCCCATAGACAAAATCAAAATCTATTAGCGATATCGCAAATATATTGTAAAAAAAAACATATAACTGAAAGTGAACTTGGGCCTTTTTTGAGGAAAAGTTCTTTACGAGTACGTATCATTCGCATAATATGATGAAACAATTATTTTATACTACAATTATTAAATACTACAATTAAACAATATATTCCTAACTCTCTGTCACTATTGTATACGCAGAAAAAGTTGATGTACTCTAAAACCCAGGTGCGTGACGAACAGAATTGAGTCAGGCGCTTATTGATTACTCGTATTTTGCCAGTCTTTTGAGGAAAATTTTGTCAAGTTCAATGATTTGCGTCAGTAGTGTAAAGTAAATAGTTACGTCGGAAGATCCAGAAGCTTATTGGTTAAGAGTACAAGCATCCGATGACGTGGTTGTGATTTCGAATCTAGAAATTTGACTATTGTCGTGGACCATATACTAACAGACTTTAAGCTTATTTTAAATGGTTATAAGAAATAACGTAACCATATAAATACAAAATAAAATATGTTTTTCATTATAATAAAAGAATGTTATTAACCTATTAATTGGTATCATCCTCTCTATCCTTTTTAAGGAACCATTGAAATAAATTCCAATCTTCTTTGAAGACTACACCCCGTGTAATTCAACGCACATTTATTACAGAAATGAAATGAGCAAAAGCAGATATTTAAAGGCTTTGCTTCATGAAAGAGCCAACCAATAAATATTAATTACCTACTGTTAGGAGTGTATTAATTTCGTTTAACACGCGCTTAATGCAAATTGCGTAGTCAATTATTTTTTTGAATAAAAGCAGTATAATAAATTACCAATTATATATTATACTAGCTGTCACCCGCGACTCTGTCCGCGGGATTAAGAGTAGATGTTGGCCGATTCTCAGACTTACTCAATATGCTCAGAAAATTTCATGAGAATTCAAGAGAACGAAAATTGTGACACGAGAATTTTATATATAAGATGTAGACATCTTACTTCTTATTATCTCATCTTAGCAATATTATTAATGCGAAAGTTTAGATGGATGGATGGATGTTTGTTAGAACGGCTGTATGAACCTCGATGAATTTTGGCACATATTTAGAACAAAGTCTGTAGGACTTAAGGGCTATTTAACAAGTTTTTCATAATTCTCCGCGCACGGAGTCGCGGGTAAAAGCTACTGAT